AGGTAGAATGGGCAAAACAAACACATTATACTACTCAAACACTTTCTCCTTCCTCTTTCTTTTTCTTCTTCTTCTTCTTCTCCTTCTTCTTCTCCCTCTCCCTCTCCTTCTTCTTCCTCTTCTACTCCTCCTTCTTCCTCTCCCTCTTTTTCTATTCATTCCTCCTTGTATATGTGAGTTCATGTGAGTGATTTTCTCTCTCAATCTTCATCCTTCACTTGTTCTTCCACTTGGGAGGGAGGTGAAGGAGAGGGAGAAGAGGAAGTAAAGAAGAGAGAAGAAGGGGAGACATTTATTCACTCTCCCCTTGGCAGCCTTGGGATGGAGGCGTTCACTCTTGATGAACTTCCTCCTACTTGGCTATGGCTTCCTTCCCCTCCAAGCCCTTCTCCTTCCTTTTCTCCTCTCTCCCCAAGTTGCCACAGGCTCCTATCACTAAGGCTAAGGAGTCCTCCCCTCTAGGAGGGCTAATGGGACCCCCCTTAGCCTTGCCTTCTTCCTCACTAGCCTGGGAGCTATGGTGGATCACCTCCCTCACTACCACTAGCTTGTAGAGTCCTCCACACTAGCTCACAACCCCCTCTACACTCTCAAACTGCTAGGGGTTCCCCTCACTTCACTCCAAGTGAGTCTCGAGCTCCTACGGGCACATTTGGGCAGCATGGGCACTCCTCATGCAAGTGTGAGTGTGGCAGACTGAATCCCCAAATTATATAGGCTGGAAACAACAGTCCGGCCAGCCCATGGGCCTCTCCAAGTGCCCCAAGGTGAACCGAGGTACCCCCATAGCCAATTTCCACCTCTAGGCCTCTCCGGGGGCACCTGGCCTTATTTTAGCCAGGTTCATGCAGTCCGAGTAGATGATACCAACTCAGACTGCCCCTTGGGCCTCTTTCCAACCTCATACTAATTGAAAAATGCTGCCCCATTGAGTCCAAGGTCCAAGAGGTAGCCTACTTGAGAGAAAAAGGCCTAATGGACCATTTTATCGATTTTTTCAAGTTTCGGTCTCCCTTGGGTAGGCCGGAGCATTTTTCCAAGTGGCGGCACATTTTCAGTCTTGGATCAGGCCGAGATCCAAGGCCCTCATTATTCCGAGCTACCCCATGGTGGTCCTTGCTTCAAATTTGAGCTCATAAGCTCAATTTTTTAATTTTTGGTGCATCTGGCTCTCTTTTTAGGCCAAATGTCCAGTTTCGTCTTTTTCTTCTTTTTGTTTCTTTCCATTTTGGGCTGCCACCTCATTCCGGAGCTAGCCGTTTTGGGCTGGCCCACAAAAATGGTTGTTTTCTCTCCACCATGAGATCTGATCTCAGATCCATGGCTCAAAAGAAAACCGGTTTTCTCCTTTTTGCGTTTTCTTTCTTTTTGCCCTCTTTAATTCAGATTTTATGGGGCCATATCTCAGCAATCCGGCCTACCTTCCTTGAATCTAGGAGGGGTGAGGTCATCATTGGGACCTGGCAGTCCCTACTGCAGCAGTCCAAATGGGCCGGCACATTTTCCTCCATCCATTTCTCCCCTTTTGTCTCATTCTTCCTCCATTTTCTCTCTTTTTTCTTTTCTTTTTCTTTTATTTTTGTTGTGACAAGTGTCAAATTGTTGTGCCCTCTCTTTATAGGCTCTAGAACCTCATTCAAGGTCAGGTTCATGGCCGGCTGTTGGCCGTTACACTCCGGATTACAATGATCCCACCCCCATGCTTCTAGGGGGCTCATTTTACTCCCGCTAGCCTCCATTTTGAGCCCCTTTGGCTCCGATGTTTCATGGTCAGCCTATTTCTTGCTCGGAGCCCTCTTGGGCTCTTGTTTTGTCATGCCTAGCTTGTCCGAAATATCCTGGACTGTTGGGCAGCCGTCCCCTTATTTATTTTTCTTTGTCTCCTCACTCTCATTTCGCCAGTTTGAGCCCCACTAGTGCTTGCACTAGCGGTGCTAATATTGTTCTCCATCGAAATCCTCGTCGAGATCCTCGATCTCGGCGTTGCTATTTGCCTTGCACGGCCACTCCCTACCTTGGTTAGTGGTCTCTCCTTGGGACACCTCAAGTCCCCACCATTTCTCCACGCTAGTTCCATTTTTCCGTCCCGCTAGCAGTGCCGTCGATGACACCCAATTTTCGACAATTTTTAGTTGGGTCCATTTGGCCCCCGGCGTCATCCCGGTCGATGCCCAATTTTTATTTGGGACTTCCCATGTCCCCGGCAGTCCCATTTCATTGTTCCCATGTGCCTCAAGTGCGCCATTTATTTTCCCGGTCGCGGGCCCCCCGCCTTGCCGTCACCATTTACCGTTATGCTCCCCTATGCCTACGACGTCGTGTTCTAGTCTTTTGGGCGTGCCGTGGCTTATTTCCCCTAGGCCTAGCCATCCCCATGCAGTCCGCTATCTCTCGGACTGCAGCCACAGCCAATGTTCTAGTCCAACAGCACCACGTCATGCCCCTGCCCAAGGAAAACGAAGCGTTAATTTTCCAAGGGCATCTGGGCTCAATTTTGGCTTTCGGAGCCCCAAAAACTTGTGTTTGTCCCTCCCTATGCAGTCCGTTGCAACTCGGACTGCAGTTGGGGCCATTTTCATTGTCCTAGTGCCTCACAACTAACCCCCAACTGAAAGAAAATGAAACGGTCAACTCCCAAGCGCATCCGGTCTCCATTTTGACTCCTAGTGCACCTAAAACATGTGTTTGGCCTCTCCCATGCAATCCGTTATTTTTCGGTTGCAATGGGGCTTGATTTTCTTTGATTTTCTTAGCATAAATCAAAGAAAATCAAAGTCCTTTATAACCGCCACATACCCAAATGAATCTGGTCCAAAATGCCCTCCCTACGTGACTGTTTTCGTCCGTTAGTGCCCTTTTGACTTTCCCTCTTTTCTTTTCTTTTTCCTTTCTTTTCTTTTCTTCTCCTCCACTTGTGGACAGTTGGGACTTGTCAGTCCCTACTTGCTGCAGTCCCAACTGACAGCCAACTCACTCATCCTCTCTCAACTCCCATTTTCTTTTTCTTTTCTTTTTCTTTGTGCATGTCAAGTGTTAACTAGCCGTTAAGACTCTTTTCTTATTTTTTTTTTATTTTCTTTTCTTTTTCCTCCTCCCTTGGACAGTTAGGACTTGGCAGTCCCTACTGACGGCCAACTCACTCATCCTCTCTCACCTCCCTTTTTTTTTTTTTTTCTTCTTTTTTTCTTTTTCTTTTTGCATGCCAAGTGTCAATTAGCCGTTAAGGCCCTTTCCTTGTCTCTTCCTCTTAGTTTTGTCCCTTCCTATGTCCAAGGGTCAGTCCGTTATTTCTCGGACTGCAGTTATGGCCCTTCCATGACCTTGGGAGCTACCGTTTGCCCCTCACTCTTCCAAACGGTAGGCCCCCTATGCACCGATTTTCTCCGTGGAGCCTGTTTTTCTCATATTGACTCTTTTGGCCCCATTTTCTTGGGGGAGGCCAATCCGAGATTTTTTCGGATTGCTCCCATGGCTCTAGCACTTGTTTTCTTTACTTTTTTTTTTTTTTTGGCCTCCCGCTTGCTCCCACTAGTGCTTGCACAAGTGGTGCAAATATTTTTGGTCGTCAAAATCTCCGATCTTGATGGTGCAACTTGTTTTATTTGTTTGCACCAATTTTTTCCTGGGACGTCACAAGTCCCCGACACTTATCCCGCATTAATTCCCGACACTAGTCCCGCCGGTACTTGCCCTGCCGGCACCACATTTCCGCCTAGTCCCATGTGGTCTCCGACACTTTGTCCCGCTGGTACCACATTTTTGCCTAGTTCCGTGTGGTCCCCGACACTTTGTCCCACCGGTACCGCATTTTTGCTTAGTCCCGTGTGGTCCCCGACACTTTGTCCCACCGGTACCACATTTTTGCCTAGTCTCGTGTGGTCCCCGACACTTTGTCCTACCGGTACATGTCTCGTCGGCGGTCCCGTTGACACTCTTGTCATTTTTCTGCCTCCTGGCAGCCTTCTTCCCTTGTGTCTTCTCGCGTTTCGCGCACCCTCCTCTCCGGGTGTGGGTCGTCACTTGGCCTGTGGCCCCCTTGGCCCTCTCGGCGTCGCATCCCGGTGGCGCCCATTAGTCCGGGCTACGTCTTCATGCGCCGGTACCTCACTTGTCGTCTTCTCCCTTCCTTTTTCCTTGCGGCGCGCGCCCTACGTCGTTACTTCTTTCGGCAGTCCTTCTCCTTTTTCGGGGGAAGGGTCGCCTTTGTCATTTTCTTGCGGTCCTTTGCCGCCTCCCGTTCCGTTAATTTTCTCAAGGTTCCATGGCCCCAGCGACTCCGGGCAGCCTCTGGATCCCAAGTATCTGTGCGTACGCTTTCGATTCTTCCATCCTCCTTGCCTCTGGTTTTCTCTGCTCTGCACAAACTGACCATATACAGTCTTTCGAGTGACGGGATGTTATTCGGGACTCACCAGTCCCGACACCGGTCACGTGCATTCATCGAACCAGACCAGAACCGGGCCAGACCCGTTCGGACCGGACTAGACCGGACTCAGACCGGTCCAGATGAGACCAGACTCAGACGAGACCAGATGAGACCGGACTCAGAACAGACTCAGACCAGACCAGATCAGACTACATTAGAACCAAATAAGACCAGGCCAGATCAGATCGCACCAGACCAGATCGAACTACATCAGAACCAAATCAGACCAGGGCAGATCAGAACGCACCAAATCAGATCAGACTGCATCAGAACCAAACAGACCAGACCAGATGAGACCAGACCTAGACCAGACCAAGACCAAGGGCAGGGCCAAATCCTCGCTCGAGTGAACCAAGACGTCGTCTTTTCCTACAGTCAAGCGAGCCTCAGATCGGAGTCCAGACTCAAATCAAGAGTCGGGCCTAATGGGACCGCAAACCTACTCTATTTCGCCGACAGGGGCGGTACCAATGACATCCCAGGAAAGAATACGATACGCTCGGTCTCGACGCAAAATGAACCTCTGGACTGGTGTGAGGAAGACTGCCCTGGGATAGGATGTAGCGCACCTGCGTCTATCGTTATTAATTGATTAAAAACGATTTTCTTGTTCTTTCTGTATTCCGAGTTGGCGTCTAGTTCGCACTTTGTGTTTATATCTGATTTAGTGATGGATTTTGCAGGTTACAGGAGCCCGGGACTAGCCCTCCCACGGGTGACAGATGTGGTCGGACATAGGGCTAGATTCGCAGACCGACAAGTTCATTCTCTCGGTCGACCACGCTCTCTTTCGTGTCTAGCAGCCTAGCTACCTTGACCTCTTCGTTGTCGTGTCCAACCCTTTTTCTCATAGTCGCCTAACGGTCCTGGTCCTTCCGTCGCCTCGAGTTGGCCTTTGGGCCACTCTCCACAAGCTCAGCCGACGGGCGATCCCTCCGCCACTGATCCAGCCCGTGCCAGGACTGAGTCTCCCCGTCCAGATCGCTCACCTCACTCTCTACCTCCGTGTCACGGTTCAGGTACATGTATTCTCTTTCCGCCATGTCAGTTAAGGTCTCTGCCTCCAGATACGAGACGGGCACTTTCACCTCATCTGTGACCCCGTCCCTTCTGCACCTTCTCTTTGCACGATCCTTGAACTCTGTGATGGCCGCCTGTAGTACCTGGTCCGCTCTCATTTCCTCCTCTTTTCCTCCCTCTATGTTTATCTTCAATTTTGCCTCCTCATTAAAGTGACTGTAATCCAAAATGGTCGTCACCGTAGGCCCTTCTCCAGACATCCGCTCCCACCTCCAGAGGAACTGGAGATACCTTGGCCTTACTCGTACAACCCATTACCGCGCACCATAATTGTGCCCCTTTTTAAATAGGCTATATATGGTACCTGGCCACTGACTTCCGAAACAACCCGGGCTTAACACTCCACATACGCGTACGCAGACAGACTGCCTCACGTCCGCCCGGTTGCCCAAAACAGCCCAAGTCCGGCCATAGGCGTACGAGCATACAAAATGCCTATCACTGACTCATCCCAGACCACCTTCATCAACGCAGCGAGAGAGAAGGTTAACAATGTGTATATTTTTCATCACACATATTTTATGTGTGTAACTTACTCCAACTACCTTTTCATTGTCCTATGTTTTCCTCACCCTTACCTACAATTTTCATGACTTATTTGAAAGGTTGCAGGTTTTTCATAATCCATGTTTCTCTCAGGTATCAAAAACAGGTGGTCGTAGACTCTGGATTCAAGGTGTTTAGGTCCTTCATCACTTCAAGATGATTCGGGATATTCAGGTATCAAAAACAGGTGGCCATAGGGTTTGGTTTCAGGGTGTTCAGATCCTTCACCACTTCAGGATGATTCGGGATGTTCAAGTATCAAGAACAGGTGGCCATAGGGTCTGGTTTCAGGGTGTTCAGATCCTTCATCACTTCAGGATTATTTGCGATGCTCAGTTGTCAAAAAGAGGAGGCCATAGAGCCTGGTTTTAGGGTGTTAAGGTCCTTCACCACTTCAGGATGATTCGGGATGTTCTGGTATCAAAAACAGGTGGCCATAGGGTTTGGATTCAGGGTGTTCACGTCCTTCATCACTTCAGGATGATTCGGGATGTTCATGTATAAAAAACAAGTGGCCATAGGGTCTGGTTTCAGAGTGTTCAAGTCCTTCATCACTTCGGGATGATTCGGGATGTTCAGGTATAAAAAATTGGTGGTCATAGGGTTTGGTTTCAAGGTGCTTTCATACCATTCACGATTTTCACTACTTCAAGTCCATTCATGATTTCCATAATGCCCTTTATGCATCATGAAAATCATAAACGATCTTGAAGTGATGAAGACCATGAATGGTTTTAAAGCACCCCCCCGATGGCCAGCAGGGGGGGGGGGGGTTCATACCATTCATGATCTTCACCACTTCAGGTTCATTCATGATTTTCATGATACTCTTTATGCATCGTAAGGATCATGAAAATCATGAATGATCTTGAAGTGGTGAAGATCATGAATGGTTTGAAAGCACACCCCGGTGGTCGGGGGAGGGTGCTTTCAAACTATTCACGATCTTAACTAGTCCAGGTTTGTTCATGATTTTCATGATGCTCTCTATGCATCATAAAAATCGTAAACGATCTTGAAGTGGTGAAGACCATGAATAGTATGAAAGCACCCCCCAGGTGGCTGAGGGGTAGTGCTTTCATGCTTTTATACCATTCATGATCTTCACCACTTCAGGTTCGTTCATGATTTTCATGATGCTCTTTATGCATCATGAAAATAATGAATGATCTTGAAGTGGTGAAGACCATGAATGGTTTGAAAGCACCTCCCCTGTGGCCCGGGAGGGGTGCTTTCATACCATACATGATCTTCACCACTCCAGATTCATTCATAATTTTCATGATGCTCTTTATGCATAATGAAAATCATGAACGATTTTGAAGTGGTGACGACGAAGGAATGGTCTGAAAGCACCCTCCCGTTGGTCGGGGGGTGTTTTTAAATCATTCGCGATTTTCACCACTTAAGGTTCATTCATGGTTTTCATGATCCTCTTTATGCACGAGGGGGGGGAGGCAGTGCTTTAATACTATTCATGATCTTCACCTTCAGGTTCATTCATGATTTTCAGACGGGTGAAAATCATGAATGATCTTCATCACTTCCGGTTCGTTCATGATTTTCAAAATGCTCTCTAAGCATCAGGGGAAGAGTGTTTTCATATTATTCATAATCTTCACCACTTCAAGTTTGGTTATGATTTACATGATTGGGGAGATGGGGGGGAGGGGAAATCCTGAAAATTTCAAGAGGGTCCGAAATCATGAAAAACGCATTAAGTTTTCAAGAAGAGGGTGGGTGTGAAACTTTCAAGTAGGCGAAAAGCAGGGAACTTTTCAAGCGGGTGAAAAATAGAGACATTTCAAGACATGTTTTTTAAGATATGAATAAAATATTTTACTAAATTTTTTCACCATGAACGTCAGTGACCTCCTCCCGAATTTATGATCCAAGTATGATTTTCATGACAAACAAAACAACTCAATTTTTTCCACTTCACAATTTTCATCTATGAAATTTCAGGTACCCGATAACCACTTGTGCGCAACGAGACCTCCCATGCTCAGCTATTTGCAAATAGCTGGTAGGGCATCTCTCGTCTCTTATAAGCTTTCCTGTACCGCGATCCTAGTGTTCTGAACGAGTAACTCGTATGACTTTTATAATTCTATATTTTAAAAATTTATAATCCAGAAATTAATAAAATAAGATAAGATAAAGTAAAATGAAAACATAGAAAACGGGGACCTCAACGGTTATAGCACCCGCAGAGCCATCTGCAGTCAATCACCTGTCACCCTGTCCTTAGCGTGAAGCGATCATAGATTCGACGCGGTGGTCCCATAACGGGATACCAACGGGCACCTCTTTCTCTTCAAAACGTGCTACTGGATTATCCTGAATGGGTACCCATGTCCGATGGCAAGGAGGGGGCTTATGACCTTTCACATGAGGTGATGAGTCCCCTACCGATGAGGCCGCAGGTGCTCCTATTTTTGGGGCCCTCACATCGGCAGTACCTTACTGGTCGAGCTCACGGAAACTAAAGTGAAAGGTCAGGCAGCCCACACCACCCATTTTCCACTTTCAATTCAAACCCATACTGTTCGTCGTTCCCCCGTGACGTGACTAAACGGAGAACTTAGAATTCGAACAGGCCGAAATGACTAATAAAAGAAGAGGAAGAAAAATGGGAAAACCCCAGTGACCCCCACCCAACTATGGATATGCCCGACTTGACACCTAGGGGTAGCGGTCCAGTTCCGATACAAGTGTGCAGTGTAAACTTTTTTTTTTCTTCCTGTTTCCCCCATTTGTTTTTATTTCATTTTTGTTTCCCTCTGCAATTAGCCCAGAACACGCCCATTGGGGCCTAGCGTGTGGCCGAGTAGTCCGCGCTAACCTTTACTGTCGCGCCCCTTGGCGGACCCGACGGTCACTTCAACCACGGGTCAGTCTGCTGTATGGCAGAACGGCGAGCCTGTGTGGTTCAACTGGAAGGCCCAAAGTGAACTTGGCACCCCGTATGACCCTGTGGACTGGTATCTGCTACGCAGCGGAGGTACGTGAGCAGGCACTCGGTACACAGCGGAGGTACATGAGCAAGCACTCGGAACAAAGCGGAGGGTCGAAACACCTCGCCGTCCGACAGCGGGTGTGTGGGCTGGGAGCGGGGGGGGCGGGGGGGGGGGGGGGGGGGGGGGGGGGGGGGGGGGGGGGGGGGGGGGGGGTTTTTGGGGGGGGGCGGGGGTCCAGGGGTGAAACCCCTACCCTGGCTTGGGCTCCAGGGATCCCCACGTGACAACACTCGTGGGTGGCAAGCCGGTCGATGTTGGTCTCATTCGGTGGTGTAAGAGGTGCTTCAGGGGTTAGGGAAATGTCTTTTTTTGTGTTGGGGAGGGGTTTTGAGAGCGCAGGTGCCTAGGGCCACGTGTTCCGGACCCCGTGCATCATTTCAGTTTTTCCGAAAGCAAAGGAGGGGCCCATTTTTACGTTTAGTGGCAATTCAATGGGATTTTTTCAGTTTCAACGGGATTCAATGGGAGTTTAATTTCCCCATTCCCCGTTAAAAAGACACAGACTATGGCGAAAGAAAGTGCCCTACCATGCTCTGCGGTAAGTGTGGGTCGTTTACAAATGCAAAATAGCGAAGAGAAGCTCCGCTACGGACTTTAGTCCCGTCCGAATGAGTGAAGGAATAAATTGTTGGATCATGTTGTTTTCTACTGACTACCAACTTCCTTTTGGCCCAGTGGGGACGCTGGGCGGGGGTTTGGTATCATGTCGGAGGGCGTGGTATCCCGACCCTCCGCTGAGTACGAGATACCAGGTCATGGACTTACGTAGGATGACAGGCTCTGCACTCCACTGGACTTACCAATTTGACCACGCAGGCTCGACGCCCTGCTACACAACAGACCGGCCTATGGCTGTGGTAGCCGCTGGGCTCGCCGGTGGGCGCGACAGAAAAAAGCTGGAGCGGTCTTTTCAGCTGCATGCCGAGCCTCGAAAGTCGTGTTCTGGGATAGGTGCAAAAGTCGTAGAAGCTAAAAAAAGAGAAGGGAAAGAGAGATGAAATAAAAAGGAAAAGGGGAAAATGGAAACAAAAAGTTTTACATTTCACACTTGTGTCCGAATTCAGACCGCTACCTCCAGCTGTAAGACCGGACGATCCCATAGCTGAGGTGGCGCTAGGGTTTAACCCTTTCTTTTTTTTTTCGTTAATTGTCCCTTTCTTTGTTAACTTTCCTCTCCCTGTTTGCTCTTTCGAGCTTCAGTTCCCCACCAGTCACGTCGAGGGGGAACAAATGGTCCAATTTCAAACCTTGACTGCAGACTGGTAACCAGACCCTTCGCGTTCGACCCATTATTGACGTTGTCGACCTGGAGAAGGGCTCTGCCGGCGCACCGGAACGGCCCTATATTCCGCCCCGTGTCTGTCACCCGCGGGAGAACTGTTCCGTGGCTCCTGCAACCTGCAAATAACTACGTCTGAATCCAGTCACATATGCTCAAACATACAATAACAGTAATATCACAAATGATGATTCTGAACAAGAACCTACCAATCTATAATGATGAGTTCAACTCCTTTGGACCCTGTCCAAGTGTGTGGTGAACATGAGAGATTTGAGGTTTCAGTCTACATGACAACAGTCCAAGGCATGGTCCAGTTCAAATAATTTAGTGTTGAGTATGGCCTGAGTCTGCAGATCGCTGCTGAGTCTACAGAGCGCTTCAGACTCAACTTCGTTGCTCGCTGCGAACTCAAATCTTGAAAACTGCAGTTTTCCACAGGATCATACCAGAGTCTTCAGTAGGCTACATACTCAATCTTAAGTCC